TCTTGCAGATTTGCCATATTTAAGAGAATATACGGTTGGTGTTACTTCGGCGATGTACTTCTACAGTGCGATAGATCCGGCTTATCGTAAGTTTTCGAACGTCGCATTATTCCTTCAGAAGAAAGCGTGCGCGACGGATCTACGTATGGATCTGAACAGGATATTTTGCAAGGCATAATTCCTTGAATATCTTAATAAACTCAAGTTCTGTTCTTTATGTTGTAGCAAATAAAACTTTAAACGGCAGGCTTTAGAATGTTGCAGAAAAATTGCACTATAAAAAGACCACCAAAATGCGATTTTCTAAAGAACTCACCAGCACTAGTGCCTGGCGTCCTGTCATTGTATGGAAAACTCATTTCACTCCTTGGTCTTTGGTATGCAGAGTATTGTTTGCCTTTTCGATTTCTGAGCCTCTAAAATACAAATCGCTGAGACTTGCAAAAAATTGCACTTTTCACTTCTTTGAACTCTAGGGGGTTTGAGGTGGTGATAAAAACAAAGCTTTCCATTACGCACCAGTCTCAAAGGATTTTCTTCGTCCATGTCGACGAGTGGCAGGGTAACGGTTTGTCCATCAAGAGCCGCTGAAGAGAAATCCACAAGGGTTTCCCCAAGAAAAGAATTGGCCTCGAATTTGTCGTAGTCCCAAACAGTAACCTAAAGCGACCATAATTCTTAGTTCTACATAAGTTTTAATTCAAAAGAAGAGACTTTGACAATTTATCTATGTATTATAGACTAAGTGCATAACAAGCTATACCTCTAAAACTCTTTCCATAAGCATAGGCTCAGTGATACCCTGGTAGTAAAATGATTCATTCCATACAGGTCGGATAGCTTCAGCTAAAACGGATGTTTGTCGTCTGGACTTCTCACTGAAACCTTGATAATACATCTGCCCTGACTCAGGAGAAATGAGAAAAGCACCTTCTATCTGGAAGGAGGAAAACTTTCACGTAGGGATTCCTCGGTGAACCATCTGAACGCGGAGGAAGGTCAGCTACTCGTTCGATACACACTGTCAACTGTCGCTCAATGTGTGAGAAGTACAAAGAGATCTGGAAAGTTTTGTTTCGCAAAAAATATAGAAAATATATTTAAGAAGTGAAAATAACCTCAATTCTGCCAAAAATTTGGCCACGACTAAAATTTTGTCCCTTGAATGTTGGCACTCTTCGAGCTAAAAAA